ACGGGAATTTTTACGCAAAATTGGTTTTCCAAAAAATCGATTTTGGTTATTGGTGTAACTCTAAAACAAATGAACGTATATAGGTACATGAAATTTTCACTGGTTGTTTATATTTGCATTTTCTATACACGATAACATTTTCAAAATATTTTGATTTATTTTGAACTGTTTAGGGACATTTTCATTTTCCATTTTTTTTTTAGTTTTTTTTCTAAAAATATCAATAAAATTTTATTTGTTGGTTGCAAAAGCTTGAAAATTTAATAGAAGGCTCCTAATATATTGTTTCAAAGGCAGATGAAAATTATTAAAAATCGTTAGTCACAGTTTTTATTTATAAGCATTTAAAGTTCAAAAATTGACAAAATATGGAAAAATCACGAAAATTAGCAAATTATTTTGAGTTAAGAATTCGTAAAAATTTTTCTTTTTAAATCTAAGATTTGAAAATGTAATACAAGATTACTCATAAGTTTGTCTACCTTTATCAATAAAAAATCTCTACCGGACAGTCAAATTAAATTTTTATGAGCGTTTGAAATTCAAATTTTTACAACATTGGATGTTCACTCGATTTCTCATGTAGCTATTTCCTTATTTGGTTGTTATTCATAAACGAATAACTATAGACACATGAAAATTTCACTGAATGTTTATATTAGCATTTCCTATACACCATACAATTTTGAAAATATTTTGACTCTTTTTGAGCAGTATACGGATATTTTAATTTTTCAATTTTTTTAGTTTTTTTTTCTATGAATATCAATAAAGTTTTATCTGTTGGCCCAAAAAGTGTAAAAATTTAATACAAGGCTCCTGATATATTGTTACAATATCAGTTGAAAAATATTAAAAATACATAGGCACAATTTTTTTTATAAGCATTTAAACATCGAATTTTGACAGAATTTTTAAAAATCTCGAAAATTATTAATCATCGTAATTAATAAATTATAAAATGTTCAGTTTTTATAGCTAAGGATTACAAATTCAACACAAAGGTTCTCATAAATAGTTCATACTATAACCAAAAAATCTAAAAAATATATGAACACACTTATTTTTTACAGACATTTTAAATTCAATTTGGACGAAATTACATATTAAAAAACCTAGAATAACTATTTTAGTTATTTTGTTGTGATTGAATAATATTATTCGTGGGTACTTGAAACTCTAAAGTGTACTATTATATATCTATGATAGTATCACGGTTTTTGTTGATGTATAACGCGTTATAAGTATCTAATGGATATTGTGATATGATTAATTTGGAATTTATTATAGGTATCTATTATAGGTCAATTTTTTGTTTAATACCATAGATATGTATATAATATGTCTTATACATAGACTGACATACCGTCACCGCTCAGAATCGTTTTTCTTATACAATGATATTATATCATTGAATTCAAATTTAATACCATCCAGTATACAGTAATCCACTTGTAACCTACTGTACAGCAGAGCGACACCCACTTGCCCACCTTTTTTCTAATAAGTTTCCATATTGTAGGATGTTTTTGACCAACTAGTTTGGAAAACCTATTATTCCACCCTTCAACGATGTTGTTGGTTCTGTGGCAGTCATTGAGAGTGGTTTTATTTACATTCCACATAGTGGTTTGGTATTTATTTACATTCCACATAGCTGGTGGGAAAATTGGTGGCAGCACTAAATTTGCAGTACGAATGTACCGTGTAAATTACAAGCCTCGATCTATCATTGTTCAGGCTCAACGTTTATCAGTCAGTGTCCAGTGAGTTAGTCATGACTCATGTTATATATAGTATTTATAGTCATTCCGCTTTTAAATAGTTGCTTTGGGGATTTTTTTTCCGGGATTCACAATTATTATAATACTAGTATTATTCAGTGCTAGTGCTACATTAATACATTATCAATATACATTAATATTATATGTAATATGAACATGTACCTATGGTATCCGTATTCAATGGGTAGCGCACACTTGTTTTCAAGCAAAATATTGTGATAAGTTAACTAGTAGGTATAGGGAATCCCTGAAAAAAAATCCCCGGAAAAAATGATTGAATACACTATATATTGTAATTACTAATTTGTAGTATAACACACTAATATTGTATATTTAATTAATGATACAAGAATTTATCAAAGATTGTGCTATTTTCTTCCATTTTTTTTAATAACTGAAATTGTGGACGACTCCCGCAGAAGTAGAATTACTTTAGGGTTGCTCTCGTCCACATAATTTATTTAAAAGTTTAAAACTTTATACAATGGGCATCTTGGGGTAGGAGTAATCGGAATAAAAATCCCCAGACTACAATAATAAGTACTAACAACCACATGAAAATGATTGAACAAATATTTTTTAAACGCTAATTAGTATAATTACCACATTATTAATATTGAATTACAAATATATTATATACTTATAGCATAGGTATACCTTTTTAGGCTAATCTTTTTTTCAAAAAAATTAATAATTTTTGAAAATTACCAATAATATTTTGTTTTATATTACGATGAAATATACCTATTATGTGCAATTCTGTAAAATTTGAACTACAATTTACAAATTATATTCTAGTTAAAAATGTAGAAAAATTAAAATTGCTATAGCCTAAATATAAGGATTGAAAATTGAAAATATTACGTTTCCTATAGTATTTTGACATTAATGTAAATATCCTATTATTGAAAGGTGTTTTTACATGTTTTACTTTATATACTCATATAGATGCAATATTTAAAAGATTATAAAATTAAAATAATTATCAAACAATAGTTATAAATTATAATGAATGTAGTCGTTATAAATAAAGCATAATATACAAATATTTCGAATGATCAATACGTTAAATAATTCAAATAATAATATTAATTTAAAAATATTTGTTCAATCATTTTCATGTGATGGTGAGTACTATCGTAGTCATGGGATTTTTTTTTCTAGGGTCGGGTTTTTGTTTCTTGAGAATTTTTATTCTGCCATTCAGGGGCGGTTACACCGTATAGATATAATATATAACAATCCCCCACCTAACCTAACCCATCATTACAAAAATATAATTACATTAAATTAAAAAGAAACAAATAGAAATCACTTAACAGTGTTGATGGTTGGAGAAATGTTTGCACCCTGTATAAATGTAAGTATGTAACAGAGATACACGATGCACATAAAATATGAGAGCAGGTTTCGTTTAGACGATCAGCACTCAGGAGGCCTCAGCACGATAGGATGGGGATGGGGAATGGCGACAGCACGGCGGCGGGACAATACTATACCTCACTGGACCGTTGCTTCTGCACGAAATGCCGGTGACATATTTATAAAATACCATTTTGCAGGGGAGCGGCCGGTCTTTACCTAAACCCATTAAATTTAGTATCGACGTCTTTGTTGCAGTTGTTATTGTACAAAAATGAGCATAGGCGCCGACAATATAACATGTAGACATTGTGCACTGGCACTGGTTTCATTACGGAAATCGTAAGACATAAATAATATTATTACGATTTATTCTCGAATATCGTCACTCGTCATATTAAAGACACAGTATATTAACAACGCTTGTTTAAACATAAATCGTCGAACCGATGTTTTAAAATTAAAATCAAATTCCGTTTTTTATACTGCAGCAGTCTGCAGGTACAGAACGGGTCTAAAAATCAACCGCATGTCTGAGTGACTGAGTGGTCAATATGTGCAGGATGCACTATTTTTTTTTTGTGCATATTATCTGGTTTATACCAGACCATGCAATAAATATATTGCCGTTTTGTTTCGGTCGACTCAAGCAGCATATGCATATAAAAATTAGTTATATTTTGTTCAATGAGTCGCATACCTATTGTACGCCCCCACTGCCACAGTGACTAGGAGGGTGGATAATCGGGGTACTAGAAAAGAGTGCGGACAACATAATACATCAAGTTATACACTTATAGTAGTTCGTACCTATACACATAATATATAATATTAATATTGGCGTATACCGTATAGGTGTACAATATTATTTTATCCGTAGACCATCGTTTATTACTATATAGTATATATTATATAAAATACAATAAAATATAATACCCGTGTCGGTGGAGAGGAAAAAAAGGGAAAATCAGACTGGACCGTACAGGCCGCCAGACGGCTGCTCCCACCCGCCTCGTCAGCAAGAGGTACTCGCGTAGTACCTAATACCTATACCCTATACCCGTATGGTCATATATACCGTATACCTGCAGCGCCGCCGAAACGTGTTGTACCTACTTCGAAATCGCGCGCGCGTGCGTACGAAACTAGTCCGTTCTCGCTACCGCGGCTGCAGTGAGGAGGAGGATTTATCGCCAGCGACACGTCTCGTCCGCGATTTACGCTCATTGTAGTGACCACATAATCGTATGAGATTATTGTCCATTAATTACACATTCAAACGACGGCTGAGGCGGGCAACAAGCGCGACCACTGTCCCACGCACTCATACGTGGTTGCTTCGTACCAGTAGCGCTACACTGCGCTGTCCGAAAGCAGTACCGCGCGCGAGCTCGTCGTCGTGTATAACGGCCGGTAAAAGTTCGTCGTTACCAGTGCCCGCGGTTTGAAATCGAACAATTCGCGCCTCGCGGTACGAACGTCCCCAAAAACGACGTCACGGTACACCTGCTGAGACACAAAATCCGGCAACGGCGCAGCGCACGCACCGTCCGGGATCCGTAACAAATGTGCGTGTGACACTCCGTTACAGCGTTGCCACGGTTAGCTCCGGAACATATCCGTCCGAACAGCCCGCCACCGTCCATCGTTGGATTCTAATCAATGATGCGCGTTTTCCTTTCTCTCTTCCACCGAATAACAATAATAACAATAAATAAATAATATAAGAACTTGGAGTAGTTAGTGCTTGCTGTTGTCTGTTGTACACTTATCCGGTGTCTAAGATCTCTGGTCTTCGAATACTTCCCGCGCGTGTAAGTGCCGTGTGGTTAATTACGTTTCTGCTCCCGTGCAATGGAGGTGGACGAGTTCGATTCGGGCCGTTCGTCGTCGACAATTTCGTCGATAAACAGCTTGTTCTCGTTTACCAGCCCGGCCGTTAAGAAACTGTTGGGCTGGAAGCAGGGTGACGAAGAGGAGAAATGGGCTGAAAAAGCCGTCGACGCACTTGTCAAGAAACTGAAGAAAACCAAAGGCGCTATCGAAGAGTTAGAAAAAGCGCTTAGCTGTCCGGGACAACCGAGCAAGTGCGTCACCATACCAAGAAGTCTCGACGGACGATTGCAGGTACTAACAAACCAAAATCAAACCGCCCTCAGATATTTAATCACTATAGTGGTAATGTACATGTTATGTGTTTTGTTTCGTTCAGGTGTCGCATCGTAAGAGCTTACCTCACGTCATATACTGCCGTGTTTGGCGATGGCCAGATCTCCAAACCCATCATGAGCTTAAGCCTCTTGACCATTGTCAATTTCCATTCTCTACTCAAAACAAACAGAAAGATGTTTGTATTAACCCTTATCATTACAAACGTGTTGAAAGTCCTGGTAAGCAAAGCACAATTTGTTTAAACAAATGTATTATATTGCTTTAGGCATTAACAAGAGTTAAAAGAAATAATTGTATTTTGATTAAAAACATTGTATTGAATTATTTTTGTTTCAACATCTTCTCTAAAATATACAGCAAAAAATTAATTTTGCTAGTAATTTATAATATGAACTAGGTACTTATTAGATACATTTATTATTATATCATTCAATCATTGTCTCTCTTTTAACCAGTCCACTGCATTTATGCTAATGTATATCTTAAATTAAATCCTTAATTTATTCACTTATTACCAAATTAAAAGAGATAATCTCGATTCATGATCAATAATCATACTTACATAAATATTTTAGTTGGCATACTTACCTTGTTTTAAAAAAATATTGGTATTCAAAAAGTAATTTTACCTATAGTCTATTTCAAATAAGTTAGGAAAAAAATCACTAGAAAACGCGTTGTGTAGTCTCATTGGTTGCAGTCCGTGTGCTGCCAATTACTGGCCAATTATAGTGGTCCTTTTGTTCTGAGGCTGCGCTGTTTTTTCAAATAGAGTTAACAAGTTTTATGTTTTAAATTCTTAATTTACTTACGAATGTTGGATCTAAAATTATTTTAAACAAACAAGCACAATATTTGAATTATATCTCTTTACAAGTTATGTTATTTACTTTTCAGTCCTACCTCCTGTATTGGTACCAAGACAAAGTCAACTACCCCCTATGATGTTCCGTCAAATGCCGGAAAATCTTCAGTACAATAATTATAACCAAGGACCCAATTCTCCATCATCAAGTCCTCCGCCAAATAGTCCCTTTCAGAGCAGCGCACTATCAGGTAAATAGACTTATTAATAAATTGTAATGACAACCTGAATTTATAATATTATATTCATATTTAAAATGTTTTTAGAATTAGGAAGTTCTCCTGGGCCTGATGAAAAAGCTATGAGTCCCACATCTGGAACACAAGTTTTGTACCAGGTAAAATATAACAATACTTAAAATTAAGTTTATTTATAAATAACTTACTTAAAAATGGTTTACCCACCAGGAACAAGCTAGTTGGGCAAGCATAGCATACTATGAATTAAATAGTAGAGTTGGAGAACTATTTCATTGTCAATCTCCTGTTGTAGTTGTGGATGGTTTCACTAATCCAAGTAATAATTTAAACCGATTTTGCCTTGGACAACTTTCCAATGTAAATCGAAATCAAACAATTGAAAACACTAGGCGACATATCGGAAGAGGTAATATATTTAAATATAAATACAAGATCCAAATATGCCTATTAGTAATTAATTTAACATTTCACTTTTTGATTTATTTGATTATTACTCATATTTTATTTCAATGAACTTTGCTTAAATAAATTAATAAATACTCATTCAATAATATTTAATATTAGACAGCCGATACAGAATTAAAAATATACAAAAACAATAATAATTTAAAATTAATAATGATAATTAAATATATTATGTAATATTAATAGAACTAAACAACAAGTAACTACACAAAAAAAGTAGTTTAGTGGACTATTAAATTTGGTATCTTTAAACTTTGAAAACAATGATAAATTATTACATTAAATTAGGGAAATGTAAACAGGGCTATATTTTATTGGAAAATAATTAATTGGAGCATAAAACTTCATAAAATATTGTTTCTGAATTGTATTGATAATGATAAGGGACTGTATTGATTAGGAACATATTTGGTCGGGAAAGTATTTGCTTTAAAATATTACCTATATATGCATAGAATGTAATGAAAAGGTGGGTTGAATGCTTGGCTCCTGTCATTTTTCCACTGTCTTCCAAACAGTACTATATTTAATTAAATTCAGAATATATATCCCGGCATCGTCAATTTACAAGAAACACAAACGAAACTGTTAAACCTATATTAAAATGCAATCTTAATGAATTATTTCATTATAAAACTAGAAAAAGAATTATTAAAAATCGCTCTTTAAAAATTAAAATATAACAATATTAATGAATAGACAATACACAACTTATTGGGCTTACTATTCAAATAGTTGAAAAAATTTTAATTTAAATAAACATTGATTTTATTGTACAAATTTACATTTATGATTACAATTAAGATTTTATTAAACAAATTAAATACATATTTTTAACTTTTTTCAAATGTTGATGTTTTCAAATAAAAATAAAATATATATTAACTGAAAAATCAGGGCAAACTCATAAATCTGAGTATTGCGATTTGGGAATAATATTATTCATTATAATTTAGCTGTATACTTCATACATCTAATATAGCTATGAGCGTATGCCACACTCTATGTTAATTGCTAGTGTGAGTGGGTACTTTTTGAATTTCATTGCCCTCCCGAATAAAATTTAGTTTGGTGCAACTGCTACTTTGTGTAAACCTGTTAAATAAAAAAAAAAAAAGGTGGGCAAGTGGGTGTCGCTCTGCTGTACAGTAGGTTACAAGTGGGTCACTATATAATGGATGGTATTAAATTTGAATTCAATGATATAATATCATTGTATAAGAAAAACGATTCTGAGCGGTGACGGTATGTCAGTCTATGTACAAGACATATTATATACATATCTATGGTATTAAACAAAAAATTGACCTATAATAGGTACCTATAATAAATTCCAAACTAATCATATCACAATATCCATTAGATACTTATAACGCGTTATACATCAACAAAAACCGTGATACTATCATAGATATATAATAGTACACTTTAGAAGTTTCAAGTACCCACGAATAGTATTATTCAATCACAACAAAATAACTAAAATCGTAATTCTTGGTTTAAATATGAAATTTTGTCTAAATTTGAAATTAAAATGTCTGTAAAAAATGAGTGTGTTTATATATTTTTTAGATTTTTTGGTTACAGTATGAATTATTTAAGAGAATCTTTGTTTTAAATTTTCAACTCTTAGTTATAAAAACTGAACATTTTATAATTTTTTAATTCCAACGATTGATAATTTTCGAGATTTTGATAAATTTTGTCAAATTCCAACTTTAAATGCTTATAAAAAAAAATCGTGCCTATGTATTTTTAATATTTTTCAACTGATATTGTAACAATATATCAGGAGCCTTGTATTAAATTTTTACACTTTTTGGCCCAACAGATAAAACTTGATTGATATTTATAGAAAAAAAAAGCTGTAAATGTCCATAAACAGCTCAAAAAGAGTCAAAATATTTTCAAAATTGTATGGTGTATAGGAAATGCTAATATAAACATTCAGTGAAATTTTCATGTATCTACAGTTATTCGTTTTTGAATTACAACAAAATAAGGAAATCGCTACATGAGAAATCGAGTGAAAATCCAATGTTGTAAAAATTTGAATTTCAAACGCTCATAAAAATTTAATTTGACTGTCCGGTAGAGATTTTTTTATTGATAAAGGTAGATAATCTTATAAGGAATCTTGTGTTTCATTTTCAAATCTTAGATTTAAAAAGAAAAATTTTTACGAATTTTTAACTCAAAATAATTTGCTAATTTTCGTGATTTTTCCATATTTTGTCAATTTTTGAACTTTAAATGCTTATAAAAAAAAATTGTGACTAAGGATTTTTAATATTTTTCATCTGCCTTTGAAACAACATATTAGGAGCCTTCTATTAAATTTTCAAGCTTTCGCAACCAATAAATAAAATTTTATTGATATTTTTAGAAAAAAAACTAAAAAAAAATGGAAATGAAAATGTCCCTAAACAGTTCAAAATAAATCAAAATATTTTGAAAATGTTATCGTGTATAGAAAATGCAAATATAAACAACCAGTGAAAATTTCATGTATATACGTTCATTTGTTTTAGAGTTACACCAATAACCAAAATCGATTTTTTGGAAAACCAATTTTGCGTAAAAATTCCCGTTTTTCCTTAATTTTTATGTTGTTTTTCCCGGCGCTTGTGAAAACTACTGGGAAATTTATACTTTTGACCCCCCAAAGTACCAACTAGATTCACTTTCCTATCAGAAAAGCTACTGATGAAGAAATCCAAGCACTTTTACTGTCCTAAAACGTGGTGACAGACACAAAAATATAAATAAAAATATAAAAATATAAAAATATAAAAACATACATCATTGTAAAACCAATACATTCATCACTCCGCTCAGAATCTAAAATCTATTTAATTATTTAATCTAAAAATACTAAATGTTAAATAAATCATCAATTATGTTAAAATTGAACACCTTTTTAAATGTATTATTTACTATTTAATTTAGGCATTCAATTACATTACATCGGCGGTGAAGTATATGCAGAATGTTTATCAGACTCTGCAGTTTTTGTACAGTCACGTAACTGCAATCACCATCATAATTTTCATCCATTAACTGTGTGTAAGATACCGGCTGGATGTTCTTTACGTATATTCAATAATCAACAATTTGCAACTTTACTCACAGAATCTGTGAATTCAGGTTATGAAGCCGTATTTGAGCTCACAAAAATGTGCACAATTAGGTAAGTACTAAAAAATTTACTACTGATGATAGTGTTATAACATGAAATAAAATTAATTCGTCTGTTTAGGATGTCATTTGTGAAAGGATGGGGCGCTGAGTATCATCGACAAGATGTTACTAGCACACCTTGTTGGATTGAAATCCATTTAAATGGACCCTTACAATGGTTAGACAAAGTTTTATGTGCCATGGGATCCCCTCACAATGCTATATCATCTGTTTCATAGGCCAACATGCTTTTTACATTTATTTGTCTAGTATCAAGGTGTTATTTTTTTTTTTGTTTTAACTAAATTTTCAATATGACTTAAATACACATAAGTTGTATACAATATTAGTAAAATAATTTTGCTACAAAATACCAGGTATTTTTATATTAAATAAACTTATGAAATTTAACTTTTTGTAAATTAAATTTAGTTTATTTTGCTGTACTATATGTTTGGTGCTCGCTATTCTTATTACTATATATATTTTTTTTTTTTGTTGAAGACCATTTATTTGTTGTTTTTTTTTATCCTAAATATTTAAAGCTTTTTTAAAAAAAAAAATGAAATACGTTTGAGACTTGAGGGATATACTACATATTTTCTTCTAAAAATTATTTGACATATTAGTTATACATTTTGTAAAATAGGTATGCTAATATTATTATGCTCTCTAATCAAATATATTATATTTGTTAAATGAAATATTGATAACAACTAAATAATCTCACTATGAAGGTGAAATAGTATATAATTTCTAAAACTTGTTTTACACCTTCCAAGTATTCATGAAAATTATAGAGGATAATTTTATCTAAACTCTATTCAGAAAAAGACTTTCCACTTTTAAGCATGACATGCTAGAACAGTTGGACCCCTTCGAGCTGTGCAACCAATGTTGTTCCTCGTTTTCAACGGCTGCCACTATGTAAATTAGAAAGGGATGAGTTGACGATAACCAGTTTTTGCCATTTGAGTGGGCATTATTATTCTGAATAAAGTATAGATCTGTAGCTAATTATCAATTTTTTATATTTTATATTCTTATTAATTAGTCAAATAATTTTAAGAATAAAATGTAATAATAGTTAAAATTTAACCTAAATTAATATTGTTTGGTTGAAATGGGATATTAACAATTGGGAAGTTGAATGTAGATAAAATTCTCCTCCATATTTTTTATAATAGGTATTTTTATTGTAAGGGCCTTCAATAAGCTGTATTTTTGGAAGGTGTAAAATCTGTCATTCTGTAAAAAAGATGTATACTCATATATTTTTTTCTGTTGCTTTTATTTAGTGATTGTTACATACTTGCATATAATATACTAAATGATAACTATATCTTGATAAGTTGAATTTTCCGCTGTTTTCTTTTTAACTTATATTGCACTCCGTTCTTAAATTGCATACTTACATAAGTTATAACGTTCAAATTTTATTATGAATAATTATTTTAGTAAATTACAATTGCTCATTCAAAATGTTCATTTTAGTTTATTTATAACTTATTAAATAAATAATGGTATGCTGCTTAAATGACGGTATAAACTATATACAGGGTGTTTTATGATGTTTTTTCTTTGTTTCTTTTAAATAGTGAGGCAACAATGTGATTTTGTAGGCTGTCTCAATTCGAATAACATAAAACAGTCTGTAAGTTAATAATTTTGTAAAGTCGTTATTATTTTATAGTACTATAGTAGGCGTGCAATATTGAGAATATTATGTAAGCTGTATAATTATATTGTTGAATTTTAAATAAGAGTTTGTTCAATGTTCCCAATGAGTTCAGTAATGTAATATTTATGTTTGGTTTATTATTATATTACATATATTTTTTTTTTAGTTGTATACATTATTCCTAAACTTTTTAGTTTATTGTCTACAAATATTATTCATAAATATGTTATATTGATCTTATTTTATAAATATTTCGGATGTGAACCATAGTTTTTTTGTGAAAAAAAAATATATTTTGCTAGAAAGACGATATTATTTCCTGATGTTTATTTTTTTATCCCTTGCACTTCAAAAATTTGAATGGTGAATAGTTATTAGTTAATGACTTAATTCATGTTACACCAGATGTATCCTAGTTCTGAGGGGTGGGGTGAATTTAAAATCCACAGAGGTAATGACGTTGAACCCCTCCCATGGGGTGGTCCGCATGTGGTGGCAAAAAGCCCAAGGGTCCACCAATTACCCCCCACCCACGATATCCATCACTGTGTTACACTGGTTGATAAACAAAATATATCCACTAAAACACAGGTATATTTTTATGTTCAAAACCGCCGCACTATGTTTAATTGCGTTTCAGCAACGAGTGTCAAGTGTAGTTAATAATAATTGATTATGGCGTTATTTTAATTACTCAATGTCAAGTCGATGACACAAGTCAAGTGTCCATTGTTATAATTAATTTCTGTTGCGGTTTTTCTTCTGCACCGGTCCAAGTGCCCTCGGTCATTAACTAGACAGCCGACGTCGAACCACCTCGATCAACAGTTCTCGCAGTCAATGATTCGACCTGCGACAATGGCGATAGCCGTGCTGTCGTTCCTAAGCTTTGCGACGTCCACGGTCGCTGCAGGTATGACGTCGTTAGCCGACGCGGTTTCGATGTCGGTGGTTGCTGCCCAAAACAACAACGGCGGCGGGTACACTACCGAGTTGTTCGACTGTCTGGCAAACGTGACGCGAACGTACTTTGACCGGCGGACTGTTTACATGTACTTCCGACGGTCAGGAGAAGTGGAGTACGCAGCCGCGGTGGATGCGTTCGCCATGGCCGTGCAAAGCCCCAAAGTGATCGTGCCATATTCGTCGTTCACTGCCGACGCCCCCCTGCAGCAGCAGCAGACGAGGGGCAAGGTCTTCGCGTTTCTGGCCGAGGACATGCTGTACACGCAACTTCTGAACGCAACACAGCGGAGCCACTTCGTGGCAGTGTGGACGAGGCAGATGCCCATGAACAACATCCGGCGCACATTCCGACACTTTTGGGACGCGGGCAAGCATGTAAACGTGGTCGGGTTGGTTCGGATGGACGGCGGTGGCGTGAACGCGTATACTTACCGGCCGTTCTCCAACTACGGGTGCAACAAGCTGGGACGCCCGTTCCTACTGGACCGGTGGGTGGACGGGCGGTTCGGGGTGGGCGCTGACCTGTTCTCCAGCAAGCCGAAGACCGGTAACATGCTCGGCTGTCCGCTGCGGTGCGCCGGAAATGAACACCCACCCGACACGGTGTTGAGGCCCGGCGATGGCACTGCACAGCGGCCGCTGTGGACCACGTCCGGCGTCGGTGGCAAGGTGTTAGAGATCGTGGCCAGACACATGAACTTCACGCCGGTCATCATGTCACCGAAGGGCGGTGCATCCGAGATGTTCAGTTGGTACAACAGCGCTGAAGTTCTAGAGAACATAACGGCCATGCTGTACGCAGAGGAGGCCGACTTGGCGTTCGGCTGGTACTCTTATGCCACGCACAACAGTGCGTACAACACGGAGCTGGCTCGAACCACGAGTATCGACTGTCTGGGGTGGGCCGTTCCGTACAGGGCGGGCCCGCCGCCACAGCCTTGGACAAATTACGTTTACGAGTTTGACAAAATCGGATGGTTGTTCATCGGCTCGATGTTCGTAGTCGTTGTCGGTAATTTATTTATTTATTTACGGATAAATTGTCCAATTTAAAGTACATTTACAGTATGACAACTGACATTTGCAGTTTAAAAAATTTTAAACTAAATGATAAATTACTATAAATGAGCTTAATCGACAGTTAACAATATATAATAATAACTAAATAGGTATAGAATGATATTATGTCTATTTATTCTGTCCGTGTGTAAGTATATTCAAACTCCTGCATCGATTTTGATGACATTTTTAGTGTGTGCTAGAGTGAGTCCTTGAATAGGTTCACAATTGGACACGGTAAGCCCAACCCGGGGAAGTGCTCAAACAGGGATTTTGAGATTTACGATGGAAATGTTTGTGTCTAAATGGTTGCTATTGGTTACAAGATAAATAATTAGTAGAAATTAGTATTTATTTATTATTGGTTGCCAAATCGAATTTTGGCACATTATGTCCACCACTGTTTACCAACTTTCGAAAAACTTTTATTTATATTTTACATCAACACCGCATATTTTTATTTATTTAAAAGTAATTTCAAAAGATGTCCAACAGGCAACAACCTTATAATATGTTAAAAAAATAGCTAGAATGGTATATAGATTAATGTGCTAACTTTGTTATGCCACCTTCATGTTAATCCAACGAGCTTGACATTTCTATTCGGGAAAAATCACTAATATGAAGTTATGCCATTGGTACAGTAGTACCACAACTTAAAAACGCTCTGCCAGCAAAATAAGTCCAACAAAATGTCAGAGTATTAAATATTTAAACAGTGTGTGACTGTGTGTGTAGTGACTGATCATTAGTGTGTGTGAGTTCCCTGAACGCTTTATGTAATTATTAATTAAAGATAAACTACGGCTAAGATTCTTGGAAATCAGTAACGTATATATATGCATAGACGCATAGTCAACATCGCTATATTTTGTGATCAAAAAATTTTCAATTCTAATGTGCCACGAAACTCCCAAAATGCGGAAGAAAATTTCATTCAGCACCGAAAACCCTATTTTAATTTTGAAAATATATTTGAATTATCCTTAATATTTTTTTTCTAGAGTATGTAGGAAATTGATTTTTGATTTGTTGTATTATTTAATTAGTATAGTACCAAATTTATTTATTTTTTTTTCAAAATTCAGTTTTACTTTAGTACCTACCAGTTACCAATGCTAAAAAATTCGCTCCATACAAAAAGCAGAGAAATTCTTAAATTTTTCCGAAGTTAAAATTGGACTTCTGGAAGTATATTTTTTTCCACTTATTAGTCTAAATGCACTAAAACGACCAGCTTTCAATAGTCTTAACTCTTAATATATGTAGTAGGTATACTTACTATACGAATGCGAGACACTAAATTTTTGAAGGAATATTAGTTCAAAAATATAATTTTTTTATTCTACATTGACTACATTTGTTTAAGTTTAGGATAGTTTGGAAGTGACTAGTGACTACTTATTATACCTAATTAATTATATAGGCACTGACCACTAGATAGATAGGTACTAGAAAATTTTGACGTTTGCTGTTTGGGTAGGATACTGGATAAGGTCACGATTTACTAGTTGGGTTGTGCAATTGGCCCCGATTTCTTTTGATTAAGCACTATAAAGTGTAAACCACACAAAGCTATAATAAAATATAATAAAGTAATAAACTACAGCAGTTGGCGTATATTTATTACAGGTGTGTTCCATTTCTTCCGAAAGCTGAAAAAGCTGCACCGCGTGGACTCTGTGGTATTTTTCGTGTACCACACAGCCATAGACCAGCCGCTGGGCGTGCTGCCTGTCTGGTGTAGCCTCCGGGCGTTCATGGTGCACTGGCTCTGGTACTGCATGGTTATCAATGTGGCTTACAAAGCATCGCTGGGCAGCTTCATGACGGTGCCCGCACACGGAGCAGAGTTCACTCGGATGGAAGAGATCCTGAACTCGGCGCTGATCACGATGGCTACGCCGCAGTCGATGCACATTATGAACGTGACTACGGCCACCACGCGGATATCACGGACGTTCATGAAGCGGCTCCAGCTGTTGCCGCCTACCAACTTCGAGCGGGTCATCGACCGGCTGGTGGTCAAGCGTGACATCGCTCTGTTTGAGGTCAAGCGGTTCATGTACTACTACTCCATACCACAGGCTAAACGCATCAAAGTCAAGATACCCATAAGGTTCCTGCCTGGCTGTCTGTTGCGTACGCACACCACGCAGTTTATGTTCAACGGTGGCTCGTACCTCATCGAGCCGGTCAACGCCGTGCTCAGCACGCTATTCGAGACCGGCATCGTCGACCACTGGATCACGCACTTGGGCTCCAACAAGGTGCTACCGCTGGAGAAGATCCGTGGACGGGTGCTCAAGCTAGTCCGGCTCAAGGAAGCGTTCCTGTTCCTGTTTTTTAGCTATGCCGTCGCGTCCGTCGTGCTCGTTGTCGAGATCTGTTGGTCCACAAGACTGCACCGCCGAATTTGGGGGATCGTCCTCCAGCGACAACGCCCGGATCGATCCTGCACGATGGTCACAAGTAGTAGTAGCACTGGCAATAGCAGTGGCCGCAGATCCTCTAGCAGTAACACAGTGTTTCCGTTCGTCCACTGATATTATGATTTCACCTTTGATCGAACGATGACATTTTGGAATAACTGCAGCCAGCTGAAGATGATCTGATTATAAAATTCTAAAATTCACTCTAAATTACATATGTCGTTACTCGTTCTATACGTACTATCCATTATTATATAAACATCTTTTTGATGTGTTACTTGAATTTCAATTTGACAGGTATATTAAATTTAGAAGTAAAGCAATCAAATCAAAAAAATAAAATAGTTAAAAAGAAGCGTTTATAAGAGAACAGATGACAGAGCTTGAAGAAATTAAAATATGACTGTTTGATTTCGTTAAATCTTTAAGTTTTAAATTTTTGCCAACCCAATAGTCAACTAAAAAAAAAGGTAAGGTGACGGACTTTCCGCATTTCATATAATTAAACGTTATTACAATTAAATAAAGAATATTCTTTTGAGCCAAAGTAATTTAAACTCGTTTTATTTTATTTGTGCGGAATCGCCAAGTGCGCGTCCATAACACCAGCATGAATAAAATAATGTAAAATAATAAATATTTTTTCAAAAATGTTGGTTTGTATACGTTAAATATTTTCGAGTAAGTGGTGAAACCGATTTTGAGCCTGTAATCACCCAGTAATTTTAAAATATGGTAAATATTTTGGGTTAGCCGTGAGTTTGTGGATACAAATTGTGAAATCTCCCTATAAAATGTAATACGGTAAATATTTTTGTGTGAGCTGCAAATAGGTGGACGATGAGTGATGGGTAATCTACTAATCTCCCCGTGATGTGCAATATGGTAAAATCAGTGTCCTCTAATAGGCAGACATTCCCACTTGAACATGGTGTAATTAACGCTGAAAAAAACGTCTGTGAAAATAAACTGTATACTACTAATAGTAGGTACCTACTTTACAAATAGAACTAATAAGTAATTTTTTAGTATAGCACTATAGCCTTCAGCCATGTTCCGTAATTTTTATTACGTATTTACATTTTCGATAAGTCGTAGGTCTATCCTTCTCGTGATTCAGATGTGGTACGATCGTATATGCTTCATTCTTAAGGTAGAGCCTATATACTGTACCTATAGTACGAGTAGTGCCTACCACCTACTGACTACTCAGTAGTTCTCACTACTCTTAGTTCTTACATCATATACATATGGTATCAGTGGCGTATACATGCATAACTTTGATACATGCGGTATTTCGGTGTGATGAAAAATCATTTTAGGTGCGATAGGTACTCATAATATTATTAAAAATACGTACATTCGCAACCTCACTAGGTAGTACACTTTTCCCAATGCTGCATTTGTTATAAATGACTTGCAAATGAACAACTTAGCAAATTTGCTTTTGACCATATCAATTTCATGTTTAAAGCATTATAGTAACTAAGAAAGGTGGGGAGGGGGGTTGCACAAAGGACATGTGCGCCCCATGTTTAAAATGTGCAGCCCCAAAAAATAAAAGCTTTTTTCTATTATATTTTGTTCATTTTGAATTAAAAATTATCAATAAATACAAAAATGTTGTACTATATATCTATATAGGTACTGCAAATATAACATAATATGTATACTTCGCTATAATTAAGTTCCCAGCTATAACATAATATAACGAAATTATCTTTAGCACATTTAATGTTGTATAGAATAGGTCACAGATACGTATACTATGTAATAATATTATATTATAAAATCACGAAATACAGCTTTTAAAAAAGAGGAACGGTATTTTTCATTATCAAGTAAACAGTTAAACTGCGTTGTTTAACAATTTTTTACAATTGTATTATATGTATATCTTAATATATATAAATCTCGTGTCACAATGTTTGTCCTCAATGGACTCCTAAACCACTTAACCGATCTTGATGAAATTTTTACAATGTGTGTAATTTGACCGAACTTAAAAGATAGGCTAATTTAAAAAGGGAGAGGACCAACCCCGGGAGGTGCTCAAACGGGAATTTTGAGATTTCAGATGGAAATTTTTGTTTATAAATGGTTGCCATGAGTGACTTCGTATAAAATGATTCATTCTAGAATTAATTTCAATCCAGAATTATATTGGATCGTTTTAATTCGTTGCCAAGAGAACAAACAAACCGTTTATTATATACATCGACGATTTGTTATTGTACATGTAAACATATTCAATCAGTATCATTATTATGCGTCTATAAGCAATGATGGGTTTTAAGCTATATAATAATAATAATAAAAAAATTATTTGCTTTACTTTTTAAATATAAATCATAATATAATATCTAACTAATAAAAATATGAAATTAAAATATCTGTACAGGCTAAACTCTGAAACTAGGTACTTATCAGATCGTATAGATTTTTTTTTAAACGAAAGAGTATTTCACAGAGAATGTTTATAATATGAAAGAAAATTTTAGAAAAATCTACTGGTGTATAATACATTGGTTGCTATTGGTTAATCATGTTTGTTCATTTGTATTATTATCTTTTGTCAATATACATTATATATAAATATAAATATATACAAGAAGATCTGATTAGTAGTACCAGAGTTTAGTCTGTATATTTATATGGTTAGAATCATGTTCTAAATTTGGTAATGAGTGAGTCTACAAATAATTTACAGTTGGCAGAAGATCTATTTGGGTTAATTGAACAATCAGCAGTGTTCTTAACTGATTCTCATAAGCGAATGACTACATGGATGAATGTAACAGGAGAGAAACATTCTGCACATGGAAAACTCTATCGCTTACAAAAAATTGGTGCCACTAGGTGGTGGAGCAAAGGAAAAGCATTGTCTTCTATCATGGATGTACAGATAGTTGAAGATAGCAATAAAGTTGAAAATAGTAAGTTTGTCACTTTACTAGAGTTTTTAGTTGCAGTCTGCAAAGGAAACTTTAATGTTCAGACTAAATACATGGCCAAATCTTTAATAACTAATTGGTCGAAATTTGAAATAATATTAATTTCTAATTTGTTGCTTGATATATATGCAATAACAAGTCCTGTATCAGTGTATTTGCAAACTAAATCAATTAATTATTTACAAGCTTGGAATATGATTGAAACTTTACAAAAGAAAATTGAAAAAAAAAGAAATGAAAATTACATAAACTCTTTGTATACAAAATGCAAATCATTTGCCGAAAAAATTAATTTATTTTTTGATGAAGAAGACCTCATAGATATTCAAGAAGATTTTCCTATTAAGCGTATTCCAAAAAAAAAAACTTTATCTGGAGAAAAGTGTTCAGATGAAGTTAGAATTATAACACCTTACACAAAATTTAAGTCAAATGCTTATTCTATTATAGATACTATTCTTAATAGCATAAAATCACGATTTGTACCTAATGAAATGTTATTAAAAGATTTAAATTGGCTGGATCCTAAAACATTTGCTTTTATTAATGAACTTGAACAATTTCCCAAGGACTCGTTGAACACAATATGTAAACTAGCAGATTTAGACAAAGAGATCATTGCAATTGAGCTAAAACAGTTTGCTTGTCAGTATAGTAATTTCATACCAGATGTATCTAAAAATGATTTTCGCGATATTAAATCTAAATCTTCTAAAATTATATATATTGATGAAGATGAAGATATTGAAGTTAAACCCACCGAACAAATTAAATGTGACAAATGCACTAAATGTCTTCACTGTGCATTGATTTTGCTCCAAGAGCTGTCATGTCAATCTAATTTATTTTGTAATTTGTTCACATTATATAAATTTGTGTTGCTATTACCATCAACACAGACTACCTGTGAAAGAGTATTTTCAAAGCTGAAAATAATCAAAACTAAACTTCGGTCTTCTTTACACCAAGAACATCTTAATCCATTAATGCTAATGTCCATTGAAAAGGATATTTTGATTGACTCAGATGAGTTGATTGATACGATTGCTAACTCATCTAGTGAACTAAAAAAATTACTGATATAAAGAAAACCAAATGCACAATTAATTTTGAATTAGAATCACATTAAAAAAAATATTAAGTTGTATTATGTGAGAAGGTATTATTTATATTATGTAATATGTAAAAAATTGTTTAGAATAATAAATTATTAATCTAACTTAAATCTTAACTTAATGGATGGTTAATTTTATATATGGTACCTTTAAAAAATTATAATATTTTACACTACCTACTTATAAGTACATTTTTAATAATTTTATGAAAAAAAAATTTTGGGGGCCCGGCTGAAGAAATGCATCCGGGGCCCTTTAGGTACCAGGCCGACACTGCTTAGAAATGCTTCTACGTCACCCAGTTAACAGATTGTCCGGGGCAATAAATATTTAATTTAAGTCTTAAAGTAAATGTAAAATACTAAAATAGCAATAATATGAAAACAAACTTACGCGTAAACATCGACTCTTCCGGTGAAAACTAGCTAGAGTGCCGCCGTCGCCGAAAAACGGCTATCTTCATCCATCATCATCTTGCTCAGAACTGAAACTTGAAAGTATCGAAATATTTAATGAAAATAATCTGACCATAACGAAATGTGTGAATTTGTGCTAACAAACTGTCCGTATATATTGATCGCTTATTACTTTTTTGTTCACTGAAATTATTAGAATTGTTAATCGTCGGCGACGAATGTCTACAATAATTGACGATAGCCATAGATATTATTATAAAATATATTATTTACTAAGATAAATCCATAGAACTTATATACTATACTCAGTACCTAATCGGTCTTTGTTAAATCGTACGTATTTTTACAGAAATTTTTGTGATCAGCAATGTACTTATTCTGGTTTTCTATTTCATTCATAGTTCGCATGCCAAATTTAACTATACGAAACTGGACCGCAAATGTATAGACATTCTATTAAATTACAATGTGAATTATTATAAGTCTCTTTTGTGGTACTTTCCAAAAACTCGACTACCGGGATTAAAATAACAAAATGTGATTTAGGTAACCTATTGGCTATTGATCTATCATAAAATAGAAACATAACCTACCAATAATACGTATCACTATATAAAATAATTATAAGTGATAATTTGAACAGGATTTCTGAAAACCCTAAAATATTTTTTTTAATTTAGTGTCTAATCCATATAGTTTAGCGCCCACGAAAATTTTTAAATTTTTTTTTTTCGGAAACCTATGTGTTGCAACCTGTTATAACATTTATGATGTAAATGTTATTAACTTATAGCATATAAGATATATAACATTTTTAGAAAAATTAAATAGTAGGTATGTAGTCACATGGCTTAGGTTATGTTCAAATAAATGGAATGGACAGACAAATAAATATTATTATGCCGATCTCCAATGACTATGTAATGATTTTACAGCTAACAAGTCTTCTTAGCTCTCACAAACTTAGCCACGCCCCGTTGTCTGCATATCAAGTCTAATAAACTTGTCAATTCGAAAGCGTTCGTTATTATGTATTATTGGCTGTATCCAATTATTCCAATTACACGGTCTACATTTTATACCGGCAACTATTTATAGTTGCCTATAGAATGTAGCCTAAATGGAAACTTTTTCCCTTTGGAACTGACGACAATACGCCTTGAGATCTGCTTTTGCATTACTTACACGGTTTTAGATATAATTATAACGAATTCCAAGAGTTGTACATAAACACTGAACCACGTATATTGTTTAAGAATGGTGTACAAAAACAATGACCTGTGTTGTAGCTGAAATGCCTATCCAAAGCGCCGTGTTATCATAAATTTGTATTTAAAAAAATGTTGTAAAACTATTAATATAATATTATGATTTATGATTTACCGGAAAAATGATCCTAATGGAAAAACTAAAGAACAGTAACGTCTTAACCGTGCTGAATGTGCTTAGTGATTTTGCTATTTTAGAAAACTAAAAAATGTCCAAAATCCAAAACAGCAAAAACAATATTGCCAATGATTAGCTTATGAAAGAATTGATGATACAGAGAGCACCTGCTTGTTAACAATATTCAAGTCTATACAAAAAATTCAACTAGAGTCAAATTCCTAAAAAAAAAATTGAAGGGGAGTGTTGGCGCCCGCAGGCATTTGCATTTTAGAAAACCAAAAAGAAATTTAGAAAAAATTATACAATTAGAACACATATCAATGAGTTCAAACTACAATCTTCAAATTCATAAACAGAAAAAACAATCCACAATGTTTAAAAAGCTCGTTTAAGAATTTCAATACATAGGGCACCTGCAGGTTATCAAAATTCAACTAGTCAAATTCTAAAAAAAAAATTGAAGGGGAGTGTTGGCGCCCGCAGGCAAATTCATTTTAAAAATACAAAAAAAAAATTAGAAAAAATTATACAGTAGGATAACACATAAAAGAGTTCAAAATAAAATGTCCAGAATCTTAAACCGAAAAAACAATATTGCCAATGATTAGCTTATGAAAGAATTGATGATACAGAGAGCACCTGCTTGTTAACAATATTCAAGTCTATACAAAAAGTTCAACTAGAGTCAAATTCCTAAAAAAAAAATTGAAGGGGAGTGTTGGCGCCCGCAGGCAAATGCATTTTAGAAAAACAAAAAAAAAAATTAGAAAAAATCATACAATAGGAACACATATTGAAGGGTTCAAACTAAAATGTCCAGAATCCTAAACCGAAAAAACAACTGACGATGTTTAGCTCATTAAAGAATGATAATAAATAAATAAAAAACAAATGTATTGAATGGTGCTCGTGAGAGAAACTAAAAATCTTCTTTTATAAAGTATGTATACAGGTACTTAGTGTTTTCCATTTTATAATCGGTAAATGCTTAAAAACGTTTGTACAAAAAGATCTACTAGAGTAAAATGAATCGAAAAAATTGGACTATGAGGAACCCATGTGAATTAACACTAAACAAAAGAATACGCTGGAAGGTACATTTTAACTACAACCCAAAAACTAGGTATTGCTTACATTATAATAAACGAACAGTTATTATGATCAGAGGTGTATCACTGTAATATATGTATTAGAAAATGAATAAAATTGAATGTAATTTATTAAGGATGCAAAATAATTAAATGAGAAAAATGTCCTTTACGTACTCTACCATGTGATTGTAATTTATGAAGGACATAAAATAATGTTTAATTTAAAATAATATTAAGTTACACATTTTATATTTAAAAACTAATAAGTATTTAAAATCTCATAAAAACCTAATAAAATTATATTTTATTATATTTTAAAATACATATTATTATTAGTTCGTTGTGGTAAAAAAATAATTAATTAAAGTTGGCTGTATTTAAGTTTTTAATTATACTGGTACAACTCTAGCTGGCTGTCTTTAAGACCGTGTTAAACACTATGATAATTAGTTAACGTCTAATTTCCTCTCCTCTCCTAACCTAACTTAAAATAACCATTATTTAAATATTTTCTTTCATTGTTATGTTTACAATATCGAATACCTTGATAGTTATGATATTTTTTGGTATGTAGGTACTAATTATTCTTTTGAGTAGATAATTCGTTAAATTATTTAAATATTTTCACCGATAATCAAGTATGATGACTTGTAGGTAACTAGAGACTGAGTGAATAGGAATTAGGAAGTGTAAGGAAAGAGGCCATTAGGATTTCAGAGTGTTTAGCGTATGAAAGGGAAATGCGAAAAAGAAATGTTAGGTTACGGTAGGTAAGTGGAGCGAGAGTAGCAGATATGAGAATGTCAAGTTGAGTGTGTAAGGGACAAAAGAGGATAGAATAAGATATTGATTAATTAAATGTAGTATAGGAGTGACATATATATTTAAGTGAAAACAGGAGATACTAGGTTGAGGTTGTTCATTCACTGGATGATAAGAGGTAGTGAGAGAAGCTAAGAGATGTAGGTAAATGTAGGGGGAAAGTGAGAGGTGAGAAGACTGAAGAAGTGATGGGTAGAACAGATGATATTATGGAGGTGCAGGAAAAGAGGGTGGCTGAACCTGTATAGTTGTGTGAGAAGGGGGAAGAAAAAGTGTAAAGGTAGAATAGTTAGGTTGACAATACCAAATACGTAGGAAAGGATCTCGAATTGCAAAGGCCACTCGACTCTTTGGCTATAACTACCGGCGCGGCGGTAGGTTTACATTTTACAACCTAGACTTGTGGGAATATGGGATAGAATAAAAAGATCGGTTAGTTGCCGGTTGGGATGTCAGAGCACTATTTCTTTCCATCTTTGACCCATGCGAGGTAACATCTAAGGCGCTATTGGGGGATGAGGCCCAATTGGGGGGTCTAGGGGCGGGCTTATAGCCTAATAAAAAAATTATGCGGATCTGTATTGATTTCATGAAGTAGCCAACGCGTACTATGTAGCGAAGTACGTTGGCTACTTTATGACCTTTTAGTAATTATATAAGTTATGACTTAATAAGAAATTATATAAATACAATTTTTGATCTAACCTAATCAGACGACCGTGCACGTCTATCTAATATAACTTATGAGTATTGTACAGTTCGTAATAAGTTTTTTTTTTTAATGATTTTTTTTTTGAGCTTGAGCTTGAGCTTGAGCCCAGCAACTTTGACCATTAGATAGTTTTTTTGCTTGTAGGTTGTTTGTAGTGAGTAGTAACGGTTGGTTAAAACATGTTAGTATGTGTGGCTACTAGTTGTTGCTAAAAATGCCAGGTGGTCACCCATCCGGGATCTAGCAACAGCGGCCGATACGTACACTTAACACCTTTCCGCAATTATAATATCCAGATATTCACACTAAGCCAAAGAGTATGATTATCCGTTACTTGAAACATTAGTTTTTTATTTCTCACATAATATTTTTGGTCGATACTAGTGAGCTGGCGACAGGGCACGTCGCTCTTTTAGAACAATTATCTATTAGGTACTCAATTAAGTCTTTAGATTTACTCACATAATATTTTTGGTCGATACTAGTGAGCTGGCGACAGGGCACGTCGCTCTTTTAGAACAATTATCTATTAGGTACTCA